TGAATCGCATATGGACTCTCCATCTGTCAGATGCAGTGGTGATAGGAGAGAGCCCCAAGCCCAGGCAGGTTGGGGTTTCTATCATAGCAGAGGTTGAGGTGAGAGCATTTCCAGGGGTCAGGACCTTGATTGGCTGACATTTATCTAGGGATATATTGGTAAAAAGGAAAAATATATGTGTGCTAGGCTCAGAGGCATCCATTGATCTTATCTAATCTTATCTAATGGTTGGAATGTTTGGGATGTCAGGGACTTCCCCTTAGATGCTGGCCCATCTCTGGATGGATCCCTGGGTGGTGTCAGCTTATGGCTTTTCCTGGATCTGGGTGTTGCCTGCCAGTAAGCCTTTCATGGCAGCTGTGTCTGTGCCCCTAGGCCTGTCATGGCAGGTGTGTGGTCAAGCTGTTTTGGGCCCTCCCCACAGTTTACACATGACTTAAAAGGTCAGAATGGTCACTTTCCATAGTCTCTTGAAACGGTTAGTATGTGACTTCTTTTGAATTATAAACAGCATAGATGTGGGAAGTTGCTTGAGTTTTTCACTGTGGACCACATGATGACCATTGCTGCTTGACAAAGTTCCAGCATTTCGACTTTGTAGATCACAATTCTCCAGCACCTTTTACTTTCATTTTTAGTGATTCTCACCGTGTGCTATGAGAGTTTCCTTATACCTTTCCCTTTGGGAAATTCTGTGGGGGCTTTGAAGGACAAAAATGTATAAAACAACAGCCTGTTTAAACAAATAATTTTTTGGAAAAATCCCCACCACTGTAGCATGATAACTCTACCTACTCCCATGCAGGTTAACACCAAGCTGCTAGGAAATGATAAGTAACATAGGCTTGATAAATAAGGTGTATTTGATAATCAAGATTTACAAATTCCTAAAGTCTACTCAGGTTCACAGTAATATTTGTCTAGGTTCATCTTTGCTTCCTTTAGGTTTTAGCTATTTGGATAAATGAAGCCATATAAAAAACTGCAATATTCTATAATGGAGTGTTTGCTGCTCCTGTACCCCCACCCCCCACCCCAAAGTCCTTTTCCCAAGGTCAGGCATTTGGACAAAGTCTGAATTCCCTCAAGGGCTTGAAGAAATTTCCTGCATGCTAGAAGAGACAAATACTTAC